GGAACATGAAAATGTATCATATATCATGTATCATGTTTACTTTGTCTTTCACATTGAGTGTATGCTTACAGAGTTGTTATAGAACACCCCAAATCTGTTCCAGGGCGGGGAGAGAGGGACACCCCTGAACCCCAAACCTGCCTGATCGAAGTGGGTTCTGCCATTTGCTGCAACAACAAGACAAAATATATAAAACTTTAATGAAAAGGGACTCTTAATACAATACATAAGACAAAGAATGTAATGTTTAAATCAAACACCCTTCTACCCATCTCCTCATGGGCAAAAGTCAACCCAAAACGAGTTGGTCCAAAGCAAGGCTTGAAAGCCTGCCACAAGACTAAAGCACCTTCTGGCTGGGACCCATGGAAAAGGGTCAGAAATGGCCAGACAAATCGGGAGGAAAAGAGCAAAATCAAAATCAATATAAACATTGCCATAGTCACCTCCCTACAGGTATCTCACCCACATCTGCCTTAACCAATCCAGGGTCAGGAAACAAGCATGGTTTCTTCATCACATGCTTGCTGCTCCATGTGGTTTCCTCAGGTCCCCTTCTCGTTCTTCATCCAGCTTCCTTCTCTTCTTTTCTTCTTTTCTTCTTTTTCTCTGCTCAGCTCCACCCTGTTACAGAGTGACTCAGCAATCCCTCCCCCAAGCACTGATTGCTTATGGAACACTGACTTTTTTAATCACCCAAAGAGAATGATAATATACATATGTGAAAAACCACTTTCTGATACATACCTGGCAGGGGACATACCATGATCATGAAAAATCACTTTCTGGTACCCAATTTGTTGAGATAAGGAATATAAAAATTATGTTATCTGGATTTTGCTTTAAAATATAGTGTATGTCTCCAGCATGACAACATTTTTGCCCAAAGCACTGTTTCCAGGGTTACAGAATACTGTCTTCTTTATTAAGAGAAGACAATAATATACACAAGTGAGAAATCTGTTTATTGTACTAGTTTAGTAAAATAGAAACAAAGAAATGTCTATCATCTTGATTTGTACTTTCACACTGAGTATATACCTCCAGAATGGCTCAGTATTCTTGCCCCAAGAACACTGACTTTTTTTAATGAGTTTTTATTGAACACTGGCTTTTTTTAATGAGCAGAGCAGAATGATAACATACAGGACTGAGAAATCACTTTATTTTACTTACTTTGTTGAGATAGTTAGGGTCCAGAGAACTCAATTACCACAAAAGACAGAGTGGCACACAAGAATGCAATTCGCAAAGTAGATTTATTGGGCTGGCTAGCCAGGGTCAAGCTGTTCCCTGCCGGACATACAGGACCGAAGGTTCAGGCAAGACCTCAACCAAAGGAATATATAGGGAATATATATTCAGGGAATATATAGACCTCATTGGCCGTTACATACGTCATAGCCCACGCAAATTCAACTTAGCAAATGGATTCAAAGATCAACAGATATCACAGTTCAACCACCCAAGAACAGGTTTCCAGGAATAGATGTCTCATTTCCTGGTGCCTCCAGTCCAATCACCATTCCCATTATCCAATCAATTTAAATGTACATTGTCCCTCTTCAACCTATCCTGCATCCCTGCATGGGGGGGGGAGGAGTTGGGAGGGTGCATGCCTGGGCTAGTTTTACTCAGGCCTGCGTTACTTCCTCCATTCCTTCATCCCCCCGTCTCGTTTGGTCATATTGAGGATTCACCCTCAAAGAGGTGGAGGGCCTGAAACTGCTGCCAGAGAACTAGAAGTTGAACAGTGTTAATCCGGTCTTTGACAAAAGAGACAAGGCGATTCAAGACACAGGGTCCAACAGTGACCAATAGTAAGAGGATTATCATGGACTCCGCTAATGCGGACAAAAGGGTGGTCAGCCAGGGAGAGTGATTAAACGATGATTGGAACCAACTTTCCTGGGCTTTTCTCTCCTTCTTTTGCCGTTCCAGGCCTTCCCTAAGTTTGGCCATGGAGTCGCGAACGACCCCTGTATGATCGGCATAGAAACAACATTCTTCACCCAAGGCGGCACAAAGACTGCCGTTTTTAAGGAAGAGCAGGTCCAGTCCTCTGCGGTTTTGGAGGACAACCTCCGATAAGGAGGTCAGAGATTTTTCTAGTGCATGTGAAAGAGAAAAAAAAAATTCTTGGTGTATATCAAAATCATAGCAACAGAACAAAACAAAACTTTAAAAGTTGTTTAAAACGTTCTCCAACCTTGATCCCAACTTTGTTCAACTTGTATGCACAAGTTATTTACAAAATACATGTTAACTTTTACCATATTTCTATTTTTGCATAAAATCACAGGGCAGAATAATCAAGTAGCAAGTTCTTGTTGTTGCTGGCCTTGTTGGGGTACTCCATACAGGATCAGAGCAAACCATCGATGTCCAGTCCACACAGGCTTCGGAGCAACGTTGGTCTCAGCAGACTCATGCTGGAGTTTTCTCTTCTATAAACTTTTATATTTCCAGGTCGTCCAAGCCTGCCAATGGAGGCAAGCTTCCTCACCTTCTTTGGAGGTCTCTGGAACCTTAAAACAAACCAGCAGGTTCTCCTTTTCTTGGTTCAGCTCTATTTGAAGTTCCTGGATAATGCCAAGCAAAGCCACTGAAACACATTTCCAGCACATTTCCAATTTATTCAGATTAAGCGAACAAAATTCCCTATTGAAGTTATGCAAAAATAGACTCGAGTAGTAAATATTACTACCACAATCTTTATATTGTGTTGGTTTCAATGGGAGAGAAAGATAGAAATACACATTTTCTTCTGCTGAAGAAAAAAATTATTGCAGATTCTAGTTATTGAAAGCAAAAAAACTTTCTTTGAATCAAATGAGGAAAAAATACAAGTATGTCAAAGAAAAACTTAGCAAAAACAGTTTGTTCAGTTCTTTGTAGAAAAAATTTTTTCACTGTCAAAATTTCCACCAACTGGAATCAGTTAAGGTCCTTCTCTGTAAACATTTTTTTTTTCTCAGAAGCAATTTCTGCAAATGCCAAACCATAAAATATAATATTTCAGGACAATAATCATTATTTACAATTCAAACAATATATGATATCGTAATGTTTCTATGCACTTTTCAGAACACCAGTGTTAACATTTATGTTCATGCCATGTTTCACATTTTTCCAAATGACAATGCTTCATTTTCAGTCATTTTTCTTTATTACACAAACCAAATAAGTCCAAATTGATCTATGTGCTTTTCCAGAAAGGAAGAAATTTTGTGGAATGTCTCAGGAGCTCTACTGAGGTTCCACAAAATTGTCTTTGATAAACCAAAGGACAGACTACCAAATGTTTCTTCAAATTTAGAATTCTGGGAAGCTTTGTCACAAATATGAAAAAAAAAATAGACAACAACAATATCAATCTCTGAAAGCTCCGGCTCGGTTAGTAATGCAATATCGACAGTCAAACCATAACAGGCAAACTATAAACCTTTTGTTCTTTTTCCTTCATAACTAGAGACTCTTTGTCCCAGAAACCTTAATTTTTCCAAACTTGTATTTTCCTGACATTATCAACCCAAGCGAAAGGAAAAATATTATACCCAATACAACCTTAGAAGAGCCTGTTTAAAACATTAGAGTACAAATTAGTTACCATGGACCAAAAATTATCCCAGATTGTGTTTTCAAAACATGTATACCAGTTTTCATTAGTTTGTTTGTGAAGGAATGGAGGAAGTAACTAATGCAGGCCTGAGCAAAACTAAACTAGCCCAGGCAAGAAACCACCCCCCCACCCCCCCACCCAGAATGCACGATAGGTTGAAGAGGGACAGTGTACATTTAAAATTGATTGGATAATGGGAATGGTGTGGCCCAGGCTGATTGGATCTGAGGAACCAGGAAATGAGACATCTATTCCTGGAAACCTGTCATTGGGTGGTTGAACTGTGACCCAGGCTGTGATGTCTGTTAATCCTTGAATCCATTTGCTAAATTGAATCTGTGCGGGCTATGACATATGTAATGGCCAACAAGGCCAATATATTCCCTGACTTTCCTTTGGTCGGGGTCTTGCCTTAATCCTGTGTGCCCAGCAGGGAACGGCTTTACCCTGGCTAGCCAGCCCAATAAACTCTACTTTGCGAATTGCATTCTTGCGTGACACTCTGTCTTTTGTGGTAATCGAGTTCTTGGACCCTAACAGTTTGTTTAATTTTTCTTTTCAATATCTATAGGTACCACCAAAACCAATTTTATAACACCTCGAGGCCAAGACAATTAAGCACAAAGACAAGACATACAGACATGCAACATATAGACAAGACAGTTTTCTTAGTTATGCCATGTGGAATCTTATGTAGCTGCAGTTTTTACTCATATAAGATCAGAAAAAAATCTCAAGTTCCAAAAAATGTTCAGTGTTGTAACAGATACAGGTTTCATGGACTCCGCCCCCACTCGATGCTGGAACTCCAAATCCCATCAGTACCAAGAAGAAGCACGCAGGGACTTGAGAGCGGAGCTGAGCAGCCAGGCTGGGAAAAAACCGGACATGTAGGCTCTTGGGGTCTCTAGGCCTGGTGGTTTGCAGCTGATCGTTTTGGCGCTCAGTCGGTTTTCAGCATGCCGGTGGAGTCCACGTCAGCATAACTGGTAGAACATCCTAGTTAACCTGTGTTTCTCTCCCTCTTTCCCTGGGTTATTCCTTTAGCTTTCTCCTTATAAATAAATCCATTATTTAACCTTTTGAGTGTGTCTATAATACGATTGAACCGTAAGTGCACGGGTGAAGACCCACAGACAGGCAACATAATTCACATTGGGGTGCCCTATAACAGTGTCATTAGCAGAAAATCACAGGTTTCAGTTGTTATCCTACAAACCTAAGACTTTGGAAATAGGAAGAAAAAGTTTCATTACATGTTTTTCAGTGTTTAAGCATTTCCATTAGTTAGAAGTCAATACTGGGTGTCCTATACAGCAGAGAAAGTAAAAAGTTAGCTTTCAAGCAAAAGCAGTCATCATGTTGTTAGCCACTAAGCTTTCGATCCTTGGAATTCCTGGAACAGAACCTGAAAAAGCAAAATCAAAAATCAGCAGCTAACTTTCAATTAGAAAGGAGTCATCTCATCTCCTTTCTTCTGTTAGCCACTTTGGCACAGAAGCTGAAAGAGCAAATTCAACATACAAGTTATTGATTGCAGCTCTCCACACAAGGGAGAAGCCACAACAACACAGGTATGAAAACCTAGTACAGTTACACCATACACTATAAAGAGTGCTTTCTACATTAGACTGACACAAGCTATGCAACGTCTATCTTCCAAGAGATTCCAGGTAGATCTGTTATAGGGCACCTCAATTCAGAGACAGGCACCCCTGAGGCCTCAAAACCTGCCTGCTCTAAGTGGGTTCTGCCATCCGCCGCAACAAGGCAAAACATATAAAACTTTAATGAAAAGTGACTTTAATACAGTGAATATACAATATGGAACACAAAGAATGTAACTTCTAAATCAAACACCTGAAGTTACCCATCCCCTCGTGGGCAGAAGTCAACCCAAAAGGGATTGGCCCAAAGCAAGGCCT